ATGCTCCCTAAAAAGTTAACCAAGATTAAGTGAAATGACAATGATTAGGTGTATGGTAAGCATATACCAAAATTTTAAACCAAACTTGCAAACCAAATAATGTGTTACCAATATAAATAAACATGTTAGTCAACAACTAATTAATGTGTCACACTTCTCTCTCTCAGTCTCTCTCTCTCTCTCTACTTTTCCCACTTCTCTTCCTTCTTCTTCAATCTCAGATGCTTGAGCTTGAATTCATTACTGCTAACATACGTCACCCCATTTGTGTTGTCCATGCGTTAGGCTTGAAAATTAGCGATATGTGGGGGCGTGTGTGAGAATGTGAGGACAAAGTTTTCATATCGGTGAGAGACCAAACCATGCAAGAACTTATAAGAGGTTGAATTACTTCCCATATTCTCAATTAATTTTACGGTGAAACCTTAACTTTCTTTCGTTTGACAACAATATTCAGCAGTTTCAATCAATTTCTGCATTTTTATAATCGTGCATGTGGACCTATAGTTCTCTGCCCTCATGATCAGCCAAAGTATTCTTGTTTTCGTTTTTCATATATCTTTCATTTATTAACTAAGATGTTTATACATTTTTTTTATTAAATCAAATTACTCAGAAACACACGTTTACCATGCATCTAAAACATGTGTTAAATAGAACTTAACTTAGACAATGATAAACATATTCTAAAGATCTAAAAATCTCTTAATGATCAACCTCTATATTTATATATATTACATAGCTAAGGTTTATGCACAACATCCATAAAAAGTTAGATGAATTCGCAAGGATGACAAGATACAAGTAAAAACACAAATTTCATTTCACATAATTTATCATGTGATTTTTTTAATCACTCAGTCTAATACATCGAGTTTTGATGCAATATTACATTAACATTTGGTTTTAGTATTTCCTAATGATAACTTAATCTAAAAATATATGTGAAATCCATGTGTGACTTGGGGTTTTGGGCCATTGCGTTCCTCAGTTGACTACTTTGACTTGGTCGACCTTTTGAGTCAATTTTAATTCCAAAGGTGATTACCAAAAGAATAAGTAAAATTAAAAAAATAAATCCAAAGGAGATGCTCTTGACTTTTTGTGTCAGTGTGATGTGGAATTTATCATCCGCTGCATGTCAAAAAAACAAGAACAAGTTGTCAGGTGGGATCAAAGTTAAAGTCATCGAATGAGGTCTAATTATTTGTTAATCTTTGCTTAAAACGCACGATTAATCGAATTCATGGTGCAGGATTATATCTCTCCTGCAACTTGTGAGACAACTTTTACATAAATATATGCGTACGTAAAGCTTTTGTATATGCAGGTAGATCAGATCAAGGGCGGAGCCAAGGACAAGGCTCTCCTAAGCTATAGTATAGGGAGAGTTTGATTCTTTAAGCTTAAAAATATTAATTTTTGGGTTAGTTTGTGATTTTTAATTGTCATATTCCACTTAATAAATAATTTTTTTATTAGTACGGCTGTTTTTAAGAATAATAAGAGTTAATAGATGTTAAATAAACTCATCACTTTAACCAATATTATATTTAGTAGTAATAAATTAAAACTTTCATACCACAAATGGTTCCTTGTTTTATTCACTTGAAAGCTTTGAAGGCTAGAAACCTAGAAAACATAGCATAAAATTCTTGCTTTAAATTACTACATTCAAGTTTTTACTATTATATAACTTTTTTTTTTTTTTTTTGGGAACCTCGGCGGCACGAGGGAATTTTATTGATAAGAAAAAAGAAGTTACACCTAGACAGGGGGGACATAAACCTAACCCCTCATAGAACAAGAGAAAAGAAATACAAGGGGGGGACATGCACCTTACCCCTTTTGAGAAAGGAAATACCAGAAAAAGAGGGGGGACATAGACCGTACCCCTCTTGGAAAAGAAAATACAAGGAAAAGACTAGGCGGACATAAGCCCAAACCCCTCTATAAACCTTAAAAGGTAATAACCTACAAGACAAACTGCAAAACAAAAGGGAATCCAAAAAGGTTAGGAAAAGAAAGGAGAACACACATCAAGAAGAGGAGACAAACCTGTAGGTTGGCATGCCCAATAAATCTGAGTGCAGAGAAGATTATATAATTTTATGTAGGCAACATAGGATTAAATATTTGATTTTGTAGTAATAATTTTAGTTTAGCCCACCCACCAAATAATTTCTGGCTACGCCACATGAATTTCATCCCATTGCGTTGCATGCTTTACAGCAATTAATAACATTATCGATTATTTGCCTAGTGCAGTGCTTCTTAATTCCTTATTGGGTTGCACATGCCCTTCCACCATCTTACACAGCAGCTTTCTTCTCAGACTCTGCTCTCGCAGATGGTGAGGCTGCTGGTGGAAAATAATTCGAAAGGTGGTTACGGATACTGCATTATTAAATACAGAACCGGTGCAGTTAACAATACAGATATATAATCGATACATCGTTAAGAGATATTGTCGATACTTTAACCTCACGATCACAAAAATATTGATATATGACTAATTATACGAATTACACATCAGATATTTTTGGTTCTTGTTTGTGATTGTTTGACACTCTCCAGTCGTTAGTAAATATGAATATCACACATTTGCATCACAATCAACATAATTAAGGATTCAGATTGATAGGCTAAATCACATTCATTCAGTTATGCAATTGTACGTCTCACTCTATAATGTACATGCGTAGCACAAACAGTGTAGATTGATGATGGGATGAAGCAAGGTTCTAAAAGACGCTAGAAGCCAGTCGGGCGGTTGGCTAGAGCCTAAATTCTAGACGGCAAGAAGGGGTCTAGGCAGATTTAATTAAATTTATTTATATCGTATAAATAAGTGCTTATATTATTTAATTGTATTGAGAAACATAAATTGCAAAATAAAATGAAATGTAGATTAAATTATTAGAAAATATTGGAAACAAGTATATAATGAGTGTTCATCAAAGTATTCAACAAGTCTCTTACAATTTATTGAACAAAATTAAAATGCAAAATGAAAATTATCTATTTTCTGTCTAAGTGATATTCCCAACCTAGGCGGGTGACTAGGCAAGTCTAGGCGGGTTAAGCGGATACCTAAGGAGGTCTAGGCACCATTTCTTAATTTTCAAATGCTTAGATATTAATCAGGATGGTGGCTAGCTTCCTAGCACGGCACTAGTTTTAGAACAGTGAGATGAAGTATGAACAGTAAGTAAAGCTCGATTAGCAGCCACTACTGTAAGTATTCGATCAGCTTTGATGGTTGACATACACAACGAATCTTCTAATCTGTTTAGCTATCTCCCCGATACCCAACTGGGGCTCAGGGAACTGGGAACCCAGCCGAAAGTAAACAAGTTTAGATATCTCTATTAAGAATTGATCAAACTAAACTAATACATAAACATCTGCTTTAACAGTTGATCAAGACCTGCTAAAAGAGGTAGGTAGCTTAATTAACAGTTTCCAAGAATCTATGGATATGTTCCATCTATACGCAGTGCCATTACCAGACGTTAATGATTGGTTCGTCGGTGCGTAATACTAATCCAAATGTTTAATTACTGTTAAAACTAAGATTAAAACTTGTTATCGTTAGCGGAAAGGACTTGCAGAATCATAATCTGCTATTTGACTAAATGACCATAACTTTAAGTATTTAATTATGTAAAGGGAGGATAAAGATTAGAGAGGAATTGTTGAGTGTATGAGTCAAAAAGGATGGGAAGGGGGAAAACATGCACATATGCAGGTTACAGTAGGAAAGCAAGAAAAAGATTCTTATAGTTATAGGGCAAGTTGCCCTTAAAATTAAGGGCATGAGCCACAAAAGTTATAGAGCCTATGAAATGGAGAACAAAACCATGGCATTTTGCATGGTATTTGATTTTTTGTTACATCAGTTAATGATTGTTTTTGTTTTTTCTTGAGTATAAAACTGCAAGAAATTTGTAATATTCTTTTAATGAAATATAGTATTGATGGGTACGAAAAATGAATGGTTGAAATTAAAAATAAAGTTAGTAATTATAGAAATCAAATTTCATGGCTAAAACACTCGTAGCACTAAACGCTACGTTGATACACATTTGGTATCTCTCTATACACTACAAAGCAAAATTTGAAATCTTTTTCTTCTTGCGGTTTGAGTTTACATACGGATTAATCAACACCCAAATAATATAAAAATACAACTCGTATTTAATATCACGAATTCACGATAATAAGAAAAAAAAATTATTTTCTTAATATTCGTGTAACTTTTGAGTCGCATAACGTGTTAATTGCGAACCCTAATTTTGGCAACAGAGATCACTAAAATTTAAGAACCCTCCTTGTAGGTGTGTCCTAAAATTAATTAGCTAAAAATACAGTTTTTTTGCAAGAGCGACCTTTCAATTTTTAGGGTCCATTTAAGAAGAGTTGGTCGTCAAGAACTGGATATTTTGCCTACAGTAAGCCAACCACCAAGTTCCAGCTTAAGTCAACTAGAAAGCCCATCCCTTGTACACGAAAATGTGATGTGAAGTGAGAGATGTTTACGAGGCGCTCTCTCTAGTGCATGTTTAAGTTATACATCTAACCAGGAGCTGTTGGATTCCATTAGGTTAAATGATCTCAATGGTTCTTGTTCAAATGTATAACTAGTTTTTACTTAACCCGACTCAAGCTTTACTTATGCGAACACATTTTCCAAATTTTATTCAACGGTGCTTAACATTTAGTGGTTAATAAATGAATTGGTGAGACTAAAATAGAAGATCTAACAATTATAAAAATCAAATCTAACGGCTAAAACACTCGTAGCACTACCACGTAGTATTGAAGTTACATCCCCAACATTTTATTTTGTGCTTTAAATAAGTACTAATGTATATCAGTCTATGATTTGCAGGTGGTGAGGTATGAGTCCTTGACCGTACGAACTAAGGAGCCAAGAAGTGTTTAGTCTAAATATCGATTTCAACATCTTCAGATCTGTCAAATAGCAACAGTTGAAATTTTGGCTAAATTAAGGAAAAGGAGGCTGAGATTAAAACTTAAAACATGGGACTAAGTTTATATAAGTTGATGAGAATTCGGGCTAACATACACTGCAGATCAGAAGGACGCAGAGGAAGTAGGAGCCATCAAACCACAAACAAATTTCGAACTACATTGACCTAATCCAACAAGAAATGTAAGATGTATTGAAATGGAAACTCTAAAACTTACCAATCTTAAGAGATGCATCAACAGATTAGCATTGATGAAGATCTAGGATAATAGTAATAAACACAAAAACTATCACTGCAACAGTTTGTTGCTTACTTAGGGAACTTGAACCTGAAAGATCGAACCGATGATGACCTTAAGCACCTGCTTGAGCATTCCTAGTTTGTTGCTGCAACTCTTCATTAGCATTTCTGATAACTTGATCCCAGCCACTCCCGGTGCCAGTGTCCAAATAATCAAACGGCACTGCTGTCTTCAAACCTGGCCTAACAGATAACTGGCTCTCTACAACTCTGAAGTCGACACCATCTCCTTGTTCACTATGAGTCTGATCCAATTCCTCCCATGTATACAGCAGAGGTAGCGTAAATGCGCCCCATGGGTTGAAATCCACAACCTTAACGCGATCATCCTTTGTCACATAGACATCAAAGGTGTAGTTTTCTGATTCAAATCTCAACATCAAATTATCCAAGAAAAAGTCTTCGATCAATGCTTGAAGGCTGTCTTTCTTTTCAATCAGAGCAGGATAACAAGTAGTGACCTCACGTTGGGAAATTCCAACTAAGTTCTGATTTCGTACAAAGCAACGGAACTCCATCTCTGGCTTGAGAGATTGGTACCATTTCCGAAGTGCAAGGAAGAAACTCCTAGGCCTTGATGAGGTTTTGTCACTGCAGGAATCATATGCGTGACACAGATCGTGGACCAATGAGTCAGACGATCGTAGCAAGAGCGCAATCTCACTGAACGAGGAGCATCTGAGACTCCCAGTTGTGCTGATCCAAGCCGAGTCTTTTGGTGCACTCCAGTTCAGCTTAGGGAACACAGACCCTCCAAGGGACTCAATCGATTCCTTGATCTCCAACTCAAGCTCAGGGAAAGAGGGCGGCAGAGAAGGCTGCTCCGACTCATCACCAGACCCTTCTGATACTTGATAGTCGTCTTCCTCCTCCGGATTATGAATTCTATTAGGAAATGCATCATCATTTGAGATTGAAACAGGGAGAAGGAAGGGGCCCGAATCATCGAGAAGGTACTGGACAAAGGATTCAGGAAGCTCATGAATTCGGGTTCTGATAGACACGGATTTAAACTTCGGGTACCATTCCTGTATCTGGCATCTATTCACTTCTTCTTCCTTCATTTCTTTTGCTCAGTGTATAAATCAAACACTTCCAATCACCGGTTTTTCGGGCTATCTGGCAGTCTAAATCACCACAAAAATTTATCTCTTAGTAATAAAAATCGAAGATCGGAAAAGAAAATAACTTGTAAGATAAAATAATGAAAATTTTCCAATGAACATCAACTAAATCGAACCCAGATACGCAAACATCATCAGAAGTACAATTCAGCATCAAACATTAACCATTCTTTCACCAGTCAAACATTTCATGCATGAAATCCGTTACAGATACGAAATATGGCAAACGTTAACACCATAACAAATCCACGACACAGGAAACTACGAAAAATTCAAACACAATAAAAAAAACAAATAAAAATTGAGGATGTTTGACAAGATTTGAAGTCAGTTAGTTAACTGGCAATCCTACATTTCTGTCGGTTCCTCAGGCGGTGGAAAACAACATGCGAACTAATTCAATAGTTTCAAGTTCGAGATTTTATTGGTGCCCAAACGAAGAACCGATGAGAGAATCTGTGTACCTGAATTGAGTTCAGAGACAAAATCCTTGAGCGAACGGAGAAGAAGAGTCGAGTAATGCGAAAGCTTTGGTATTTTGGGGACGCTTGTTTTTTTAATTCCTAGGTTTTGTGTTGTTGGGCTGGGCCTCCGTTCCGAAAGTTGGGCCGCCGCGTTTTGTTTGTGCCTACGGTCCTTTGGACCTGCATTTTATTCTTTAGGAATTGGATTCAACACACTAAAGAAACAAAATATATATAAAATTAAATTTATTTTATGGAACTTTAACGAAAAGCTCCCAGTACTGTTCATTTTAACGAAAAATCACATTTTTACACTAAAAAGTCAATCCTGGTACTATTCACTTTATCCTTTATTTTGTCCTTATCATTAAAACTCAAAGTTTTCAAACCCTTTTCATTAGTTTTCTTTTTATTTTATGAAAATAAGATTATATAAAATTAAAAATTTGTTTGATGGATGAACAAACCTCAATTATTAGAATGATCACTTTCTTGAATTTTACATGCGGTTATTATATGATTAATATATCGTCATTATTTGATTGTAAGATTTTTAAATTGTCATTTCAATATGAATTCTCAACAAGAAAACAAATTAAGAAAAATGAGGTTAATATACACATTTTCAAAATGTACATGTAAGGGCTTTATTCACTACAATATGTCGAGTTGAAAAATTCGTAACCACATCATACTTGTGATCTAATATCGAATCAATTTTACTTGAATAGTCGAACTTGCATCTCTTATGTTTTTTTGTTGAGTTTGAAAGTACGAAATTGTAACTAAATAGAATATTAAAGTGGTTTATTATACGAGACCGTTTGATATTAAACTTACAGTACACCCCACCCACAATGAATATGTAGCTAATAAACATTCGAGAGGCTAAAAGAATCTATGTTTGCAATGCTTAGAAGTAGAGTATATTCCTTGAGTGCATCATACTTTATTGTTCTGTTTTTTTTATTTCTATTGTAATTGGCCAATATATAAAACACCCAAAAATAGAAAAGAGAGAATTTTAATGTCGATCATTCTTGCGGTACACTTGTTATAAATAAGAAAAATATCAGCTTATTGTAGCTTTCATGAAAAATTGTAAAATCTAATTACCCAAGCCATAGCAGATGGCGCGTTGCATTAATAGCGAAAACAATCATGTTCATGTGCTCTGGTGCACATTCGATTTCCCTCCCTTCTTACAATTAACAATTTAATCCGTTAATGTTATTGTTTATAAAATAAAATAAAAAAAATTTACCCAACCCATAAAATTTAGCAAATGTGAATTAGACCACTTCTTGGGAGGATTACGTAGGTCGAATCCTTGATGATTTTGCCTACTGATTCTAGAAGATGATGATGGCAAAATCTTCATTCTAACTCCAAACATTTCACTTACGCCCATGCATTCGTATCAATAAGTACTATCCAAACAATATATCGTTTTGTAAATTTTTTTATTTTTTTTTTCGAAAAAATATATCACAAACTTGGGTAATCTCCAAGGTCCAAATCCTCCCTAACTTCTTCTTCACGAAGCCAAATCCTCTCCGAACTTTACCATCTCACAAGCCCCACCGATAGGTACACATTTATCTTACACGTGGCGTGATTGCATTGGCTATGGAACTACTACCTGAGAAATCGCCAGTTTAGTGGATCGGTGCTTCTACTTTCTGTAGCTACTATATAAGCGATAGAACAAGGACTACTGCTTTTCGTTATCACAGTGACTTCTTGCTCTCTCTCTCTCTCGCGTTTCTCTCTCCTCTCTCTCTGGAAAACGTGACCGGCGGCAACCGGAGATCGAAGTCTTGCGGAAACTCTACGAATTGGGCCGAATCGTACAAGTTGAAGAAGACGATGAAGGTTTTTGTCAAGACTTTGAAGGGCACCAACTTCGCGATCGAAGTGAAACCCGAAGAGACGGTATAAACACACGCATATACAAATTTTCAATAATTAATCATCGGAGACGGAAAATTCAATTGCTTTTGTGCTTAATTTGGGATGTTAATCGCTTCAGTTTTTGGGTAATTAGTGTTTTTGGGGATTGAATGCTAATTAGGGCTTTTCACGCCCCGGTATAGTTTCAGTTCAGATTGTTTGATTGTTCGCTGTTTTGTGTTTGCATAATTGTTGAATTTGGTTGAAGTTTTAGTGAATTTGTTGTCCAGTTGTGCAAATTCTGTAGCTTTAGCGTTAGTGTTATGGTCAAACATTGACATTGTTGCGGAATTTTTCGGCTTTGATCGCTCGGAGAAGTTCATGTTTATTGGAGTAGGGATGCACTTCTATGGGCGTTTAGTTTTTTAGTTAATTTGGACTCAAATCTTTTATCCTTTATACGTTGATTCGAAGTCATGGTTTATAAGTGAATGGGATAGTCTCAAGCCTACACAGGATTGGATGAATGAAAGATCGAACTGATTTATTTCAAGTTCCTGTTTCGTTACTTAGCCCACTTAATATGCAGGACACTAAGCAACTCATGCATTCACTTTTGGTTACTCAACAGCTTTTTTGTATCCTTTTTTTTTTAATGATTTCCAGCTCAGTGTGGTACTTATTGTGCTAATCCTTTCTCCCAGGTTGCTGATGTCAAGACAATTATAGAGACGGCACAGGGTGCAGATGTGTACCCTGCCCCGCAGCAGATGCTTATTCATCAGGGGAAAGTTCTTAAGGATGACACAACTCTAGAAGCAAATAATGTTGCTGAAAATAGTTTTATTGTGATAATGTTAACCAAGGTGAGAGTGATTTTCTTACAATTGTCGGGATTGCTTAAGAAATGAAGGTGTTGTAATTTTTGTTGACAGGATTTGTAATTGTCAGATATGAAACTGTGCTCATATATACTATTTTATTCAATCTTTACAAGAAAGAATTTCGAAGTCTACTTGTTAACCTTAAAGAGAATATTAAGCATCAAGTTGGTTATGCGATAACCATTAAGTATCTCACTTTGATTGGTTTATGTTGTTTCGTTTTATGAGTTGTCTGTTGTTTTTATAATTGTATTACTATACTGTTGTAGCAAGTATGTGGCATTTTTAATAAACTTACAATTATAATTATACTACAGATGCTAATTACTTAACTATGTTCTAATTAACAATTGCAGCCCAAGGCCTCACCAGCCGGAGCCTCCAGTAAGCAAGGTGCAGCCACAAGTCAGGTAAAGTCAGCTCATTTTCTATGTTTTTTATCATTGTTTTGGATTGAACTTTTTTCACTTTGGTTCTGCATGTGATTCTGATAATCTTTTTATTGACTCCATGGATAGAGAACATCTTCTTTTTTTTCCTTAATGAACAAACCTTGGAAGCATGTTTGCTTTTCATTATCTAGGAAGAGGTTTCTGTGAATATGGGCGGAATGATGTATGGGGGATTCTTGTTTGGGGAATTGTACGTATGAAGTTGCATATACTTTCTGGTGAATTGTAGGCGTATAGATGTTCACTATATAGCCACTCATTATGAGGTATACAATACAAAAATAAGCAGTATTATATTTGTTTTTGAAAGTACATCTTATGTGGGCTATGTTTTTGCAGCCCCAACCTGCTAGTACTGCTCCTACCTCGGCAGCACCACCCCCAGCAGCTCCAGCTCCTGCTCCAGCTCCTGCGCCAGCTGTGGTAGAGTGAGTATACTTTCACACCTTGCATTTTCTTTTGAATCACTCATCTAAAATAGTTTGACAGAAAACTTATAGATGTTAACTCTATGGTAATATTTTTACTGACTGCTGAGAGCAATATGAAGTATAAACATTTCAAATTAGTGAAAACTACATATTTTATTCATATTATATACTTTTACCAAAATAGAGGAAGAAATTTCAATTTTCAAATGGTTCCTAAATTTTTAGAGTAGTTTATGGTTTTGGTTGTACAATATGCTTTTACCCCTTGCTCGTTCCTTTCTTTTTCAATTTTTTATTTATCATTTAAATAATTTTGAGTTCCCAATAAATGGCCCTTTTGTAAGTGTTACTAATTTTCATTTATCGACTCTTTTTAAGAAATACTAACTCATTAAGGTTGTCTTTGTTGTTTACTATACAACCTGCATTTCAAGGTTTTATATGTAATATATAATTCTATTACATCCATTGGTCCAGATCGCAGCCTGCCGCCCAAACTGCTGCTGTTGTAGCCCCTACTGATTCAAGATCAGATGTGTATGGCCAAGCTGCATCAAACCTAGTTGCAGGAACTACTTTAGAGTCTACCGTTCAGCAGATTCTAGATATGGGTGGAGGAAGTTGGGATCGGGAAACTGTTATCCGTGCTTTACGGGCTGCTTTTAACAACCCTGAGAGGGCTGTTGAGTATCTATATTCTGTGAGTACTGAACTGGGATATTTTGATTCTTTATTTGTTTTCATGTTGCTAGTTGGGAAATTTAGATAGAAAAGGAAGTTTGATTACAAAAAATGAGGAGGAAAAAAATTATTAGTTAATATATTAAACTTGATTAATTAGTAGGTGTGTTTCTGTTTTTCTATCTAACACATTTAGCAGTAGACAAATTTATTTGTCTCTCTGTTTATCTCAGAACCATTACGCTTTCTGTTGATAAACCCTTGTGCTTTGTGATATTCAGTTTTATAATGATGACGCTCTATGGTGTTGGTTATGATCCTTTCCCTCTCAGAACTACAAATACAATTGAAATTGGCGGGTGATTTGAGTTGGATTATAACTTATAAGACAGATTATAGATTGATGTCCACCAGATGTTTTTGTCATATATTCTAAGTTTTATTTTCATACAAGTTTGCTGTCATGGCCTGGAAGAAAATTGGAAAAAGGAAACTTATACTATGTTGGTTGTTTAATCCTCATCAATTACTTGTTTTGATTCCAGTATATGGTATCCCTATATGCATTAGCAAGCATGTGTAGGCGTTACTATCAGATTGACACAGAAACTGATAATTTGATATACATGTCACCATGTCAGGGCATTCCTGAGCAAGCTGAAATCCCACCAGCGGCCCAAGTTCCTGCTGGTGAACAAGCAGCAAATCCTCCAGCAGCAAATCTTCCAGCTCAGGTTCCACAACCGGCAGCACCTACTGGTGGGCCCAATGCAAACCCACTTGATCTGTTTCCCC